TAAAACACAACAAATTTCATATAAAACGGGTAATCACGCTAATGCAAAGTTGAGTTATTTAGTTTATAAATAATATGAAGGTTTAATTATCAAGTAAAATAAATAATGAAGACCGAAAGTTAAAAGCTGACATGAAAAAATCATGTTTTATGATGAAACAATGCAGTGTACGAGCGAAAAATCCATATTTTTAAAAGGATTCTGTTTATTATCATAGAATATTAAAAGCAGCTCTGCTTATTATTTGTTTTTTTTAAGTGGACAGGCGTTTAGGTAAAAATACTCAAAAATTATTTAAAAAAATGATCGACAAGTAGTTTATTTATGCGTTCGAAATATATAAATGTTCCATTAAAATTGCCTATACGAAATCAGCACATAACATCTGCTGCCTCTAAGGAAAATAAACCGGCCAATTTTTTCTTTAGAATTAAGAGGTTCAGGCTATAGAAAAATTATAGGTTATTTTAGTCGCACGTACCTACGTGGTAAACAATTGCCAGTGGATGTATCAAAGGCTTTCGATATTAAATATTTCAAAATTTACTTAACTGATTGAGTGCTAATTACTTATCGAAAATCGCAGCAGGGATTTTTAATTGATATTATGTGAAAATGTAACCTTTTTATAAGATTTTTTCTGTCATAACTAAGTTAAAAATTATTATTTTTTAATCACATCACCACACCACATTTTTATTCACAAGTTTACTCGCAGAGCAGATTGCTACAAAAATGTGTAAATATTCAGCTGTGTATCAATGTCTATCAAAAAGTATCAAAATGAGGTATACGGTTCAAGCGTGTATCTATCTAATATTTGACCAGTCGCTTTCGGCGATTAAGCCATCATCAGGGTTTCTGGAAACGAGGCTCAAATAGGTGCGAAAAACGTGTAAGTAACGGTATATGTTTAGGAGTGGCACAAACGATACATAAGACTGAGTTTAAATCATCGGTAATCCTAGGGGTCATAAAACTTTCAGCAAAGTTGAACATATAAAAATACTGTATTTTAATAAAACATATATGTTGGAGCTGAATTTATTTAACTTTAGTAAACTTATTGATTCACTATCTATTACAGTGCACGTAAAGTTGCAAAATTCGCAAATGAATTCAACATTATTAGAAAAGCCAGAAAATTAAGCAACCGTAAATACTCAAAATGTCCTCAATAGTTTTGCCCGGAAAGCAAATAGTAACACACTAATATAACTAACAAAACTACGCGAAGCTTTGTCTGGCATACGGGCACTAATTAATTTAGTGCTTAAAATTGAATTTCCAGAAATATTGTTTTGGACGAGACCCATATAATATTTTGTAATTTATTTCGACCGGCATTGTCCAGCTTTTAAATCGACAAAAGCACGTCTGTATTCAAAGGCAATAATTTAAAACATATCTCGATTGTATGGCAAAATTTAAATGTTTGGTCCATTAGTTTGTAATTTGACATTTTTGTATCAATGATCAATATTAAATTAAAACAATTTCAAATATTCGCATAGTAGAGGCGTAAACGAGTTAGAGCGACGCAATATATATGTCTTGAAAATTTGGGATATAAAAAGAATAAACTGATGAAAATTGGCAAAGTACAAGGTCAAATATGTGTACGAAGATCAGAGAATAGAAGAATATTGATGTTGAGTCTTAAAGTGCATATTTCATGCGTTCCTGACCTGCAAAGAAAGCCCGATAACCGTTAATATGATTTAATTAAATAATTCCAATTCGGTTCAATTGCCAATTTTAATTGACTAAATAGGACTTTACAAAACTTAAATGCTTCGAAAAAATAAAATGCTTCTCAGAATGTGCAAAGAAAGCCCAAATGTTATTAGCATCTTTTTTAACTTGTTGCGCTTAATTCAACGACTACTAATATAATATATATTAGTAGTCGTTGGCTTAATTGCTGATCAATATCAAGTTAATAAATATTCTTTTAGTGGCTTCAAATAGTGAAGGTTCGTTCAAGTCAGCAAATTATTAATAGGGAAAAATAATGAGGGCTTGCAATTTTATGCGCCGTTACTAATTGCTTCGTGCAAACTTCAGCTTCAGAAATAATCAAACTTTAATAAGGAATTTGAGGACCCATCATCTGTCAACGATAAACTTCCGTTATGATTTTATGGGTTGTAACCAATATTATTCATTAAAAATTGGTTGTTATCTCTCTTAATAAGTAGCAACACTTTAACAACCGTTTAAAATGCCCGTAAACATTAATTACCCACTTAGGGTAGGCAGACGACATTATTTAAATTTGGGATTTGTTGTTCTACATTTGCATTAAGTTTCAGTGAAACATGCAACCGCACAGAAGATTAAATTAACTGTGTATAAGTATAGTGAGTGGAAATGAGTAAAGTATTGCATTTATGTATATTTTCGGGGACCACACACGATATTGATATTTTTCAAATTATCACTAATACTCTTGTTACTTGTCTGTTGGCATTTATAATGTCTCGAAAAGCCTGTGCAAGCTTTTGGCAAGCAGTCATTTTCAATAATCAATTGATATTAGATACAAATAGCCTGCTAAATCTCCTGAGTTTCGAAAAGTTTTATAGATGTCAAAAAATGTTAATACTTTCTAGATTACGTTAAAACTAGCAGCGGAAACAACAGCTACTTGAGAGCAAGATAATCAAAAGTAAATCTATCATAATGATTTAGCATTTCCTAGTATTCAAAAAATAGTTGGCAAAGTCATGGGCTTATTTAGTAGGGAAGAATTCCGAAAATTAATGACCGTTTGCACGTAAAAGCGGTAAATCAATAGATACATGTTTTTCCTTTTTTATAGCAGGAAAGTTAACCAAATATTTTGACAAGCAGATCTGTATAGGTACACTGCAATATATCCATTTAATTAGGCTGTAAAATTGATGAGTTCGCACCTGGCAAGTGAAAAAATATGCAGAAACCTAATATGTAATAAGTCAGCCGGTTTAAAGTGTTTACTTTCACCCGGTTAAAATTAATCTAATGAGCACAATGTAAAAATATGTAAAGCACTTGAGGTTTTTCGCAAAAAGTTGTCTAATTTTATGTAGATTTTTCCCGGAACTATATTTAAATTCGGATTTTGGGGAACTAGAACTGGCAAATTGAATCCATTATGTTGTTCAGGTGTTTAACGTTCATTTAAATTATAAGTAAAAAGTAAGCCAAATCCTTGATGGTACTACTTACGAAACGTAAACATTGCATTTCAAATATTTAAAGAGCTAGAACGGTATTTTAAAATCGCCTGTATAAAATACGGAGCAAGGAATAGTCGAAAAGGTGTTATTCCCACATGAAAAGTTGGTTTCTGAAACTACTTCCTTGAAACGTCTTTAAGTTTACGATAGAACAAATTAAGCTGACTGATCTGCACAAATCAACTGAGTTAATTCCGTTGCATAGTGGATATACTTGTAATTAATGCACTAAATATATACACCATTAATAAAATTATCATTAGTAAAAATAGGTTGCTCTTGCAGATACAACGGTGACTTGATTACCAACGGTTTTAACATGTAATTATGTAATTTACAGCAGCACAACACTGTACTTGGATGAAATGTTTGAAACATTTAAAAAGTGACAAACTTGTGTCTCCAAAATCGTGGAGAAAGGGCAACGTTACCGAGTTTTCGTTTGCTTATTTGTTTTAGACATTCAATTATTATCAAAAGAAGAATGATGCCGGTAGATTTTTATTGGTTTCACGTCTAAACCGCCAACGACATGCAAGTATAAAGACATTTACCACTTAAGAAACTTAAAACATGCTCTACACCATCGAGGCAGTATGACGCAGGAAAACTCGATAATTTAAAGAAAACCTTTACATTTTGCACAGATACAAATTGAAAAATAGGGAAGATTCTCTAAATATTGTGTGGTCTAACTAAAGTTTCCCCTCCGGCTATTCAGTGTAACAATAAGAAATCTCGAATTGTCGGGAAAATGTTAGTAAGTATTCCACGCTTTGTTGATACGGACTGGAAGCGAATCAGCTTCCTGTATAATATGTAAAATATAAAACAGGAAATACAAAACGTAATATAGAATCTTACACCTAGTCGTGTATAAGCGTTTAAACAGCAAAATTCCTTTCAAAAGATTAACTAAAAAAGGGAGTTAGGTAACTATTAAATATGGTAACTATTAAATATAAAACACTTGCCGAAAATTTCACTTTGAGTTAAATATAATTGTTTAAAAGGAAAATGTGTCAAGTTTGAGAATCATGAAAAAATATTTTTTATAAAATTTACGTAACTTACGTGTATTGTGTATTGTTCTATGTTTGACAAAAATCAGCCGCGACAATATAAATCTTAGTTCCCATGCTTCAAAGGCGCTCGGATAAATTCACAATGCACATACATAAAATTATTTTAAAATACAAAATCTTGTTCCTGGTTCCTGTTTAACTACAATTTCGGTGTACTTTTTTTATATGAAGATTTTACACCAATGTTGATTTACAAAGCCATCTGGATAGTTCCCATTTCGATATTCGGAAAACGAATTCAGCGGTTGTTTACTTTGATTTTTGTCGTGCCAATGTGAATATCTCTCGACTGAGTCGTTTAATAAAGCTTCATTTCTACTTTGATGCGAATTATTAATAACATCAATTAGCTGAGTATAAAAACGATCACTCAAATAATACGTGCTGTTCACTATAGCGCAGGAAAACCGGCAATTCAATAATTATATGTTTTTTCGATTAGAAACTAGAGCCATTCGACTGAATAAAGGAAGTCGACTGGAAATTTTAGCGATTGTTGCCCGGTGGATTAAACGAGAGTTTGTACGTAGCCCCTAATGGAATTTTCAATTCTAAAAAAGTGCAATTTGGTTAAATAGAGAATCGAACGTCGATTTTCCATTTACGAATTCAACTAATATCAGGTATTAACACAAAATAAGCCAAAAGGATAATATACAATATTTGTACTGCCACATAGTAACACGCTTACCTTTTTATGAGCTTTAAATACCGCACACTTGAACACATTGGAAGCACCATCTCTGGCAATATAACTAAATATTTTAAGGTCCTGGGAGTCGTGCGAAACGTAGAATATCCGATAGATCGGATGGTGGAGAAGCATGGATTTGTCATCCGTCCAATGTTTCCTCTGCAAACACAAAATCAAGGAAAATTTTAAAAGGCTGATCTGTATTTAAAAAAATCTAGAAATCTAGTATTTCATTAATGACGGAGAAATTCAAAACATGGAACTTTCTATATAGACACAATGTCTGAAACAGTTAATACACCTTGAGAGAAAATAGGTTTCAAACTCAAAATCACCTAGGTCAAAGTATCGAGTTCCGTGAAAAAATAATTGCAAATAGACTAAAAGTTTACCTTGCACATGGCTTGCTGTCAAATCTAAAAACTTTTAGAAAATTATTTGATAATATCTCCAGTTAATGAGGTGATCTGCTGTAAATACCACTTTTCTTTTCCAAAAACAAATAATGATCTGTTTAGGAATTTCTACGCCAGATCCGTCAATACGCGATTTATTTTAATTGTAAGCTTACATGTTTTGATTTAAATGATTATTACTTATACATTATCGTTTTTGCCAGATTAATTATAATATCACCATCATGATCATCATCATCATCATCACGTTAAAGGCAAAATAAGCCAATATTTACATAGATATACTTCGAATCATCGGAAGTCGATGCGGCGTCAATTTTATGACTAAGTGGTTTCAAATTATGTCACACATGGTCAGAAATTCAAATATAAAAAAGCTTACCTTCTTCTTTTTCCTAAGTGTGACTTTCACGCCCTCAATTGATACTTCAACGGTCACCTTTTTCTTTTTGATGCCTTTGGCTTTAAACTCGTACTGAAAAAAAACATTTAAAAATTAGCGATACAGTTAGAAGAATTACTGTTTAAGGACAGAATAGAAAGTTTGCAAGAAACTTCTTAAACATTGAGCTTTTATGCAAGAAAATACACAGTATAATGCATCAAAGCAGTGTTTTTAACACAGTAGCCGTTAAAGAGTTAAATCAACAGTGCCACGCAATTAGTATTGCAATGCGAGAATTAGTACTTTACAAACAACAAAATTGAGATTAGCCATTGAAAATGCATCTGTTTACCAACCAAAAGTAGAGGCGTAAGCACACAATAAGACAATGCTGCAACATATTTAATGTCAAATCGATGAAAAATGTTTAATGTGAAAGGTGATAGAAATGAGTTCTTAATTAGCATTAGAGAAATAATAATAATTGCTTATAAGCTTTTCAAATTCATGGCTTTTTCCTTACCCGTATTCGACGCATGGCAGCAACAATTTCCACTCTACTGGTCGGTCTTGGCACATCCAACATACCAATAAACTGAAAGTAAACAAATAGAACCATTAGAGTAGAACCTGGGTATTCTGCATATCATTTAATGTTAAATTATCCTACATATTTCATTTTCAAGGAGACGTTGACATACATTTTTAGTATCATATCTGACAATGCTTGCCGCAAATAGTAAGGAAACGTCGGATATAAAGATGATGTGTGCTCCGGAAAACATCCAGACTAAAATGTTCCAATTATTCAAACCAAAATATCGCGTGCTGCAAAATTCTACTAACTGTTGCCTTAACACTAGCGTGCGTCTTTCAAAGCATATTCTATGCAAGCTTTTGAAGAATATTTTAATGAGAAATTTAAAGTTTACTCCAGAAATACCTGTTTCCACTCTTAACCATAATTGGTATAAATTACGTCTTATTCCCTTCCCATGCTTCCAATGTTAATTTAAAGTTTCACAAAGACAATATCATGATCCAGAGCTTTATTCGAATGTAGAATGGCAAATTGCAAATCCCATCCGCTAACACATCCGAATATTATTCCACCCTTAATGGATCTTTTTCAAAGGTTAGTGGGATAGAAAATAGGGTCGTGCGTTTAAAGGGACCCTAAACAACTGTGGAATTTTAAGTGGTTTTTCTAGGCGTCTGCTTTTGTTTACTTTTGTCGTGCGTAACTTAATTTGCCAAAAGCCCGGCAGAAAAAAAATTAGGATTTGCTCGTGCACGAATTTTGTGACGTTTTTACGGTTTTTATTATTTTGATATTCACTGTTTACGCATCTATCGGCAACTGATGAAATGTTTGCTCTAAAAAACGTTACTTTTTAAAGCTCTAAAACGGAGCTTGAGTACACACTTACAAATGCGGGTTCAGTATTGATTCTTGATTGTTGATTCTTTACATAATTTTAGGTCAATTATTAAATAAATAAATAGTGAATAAATTGTTTGCAAATATATATTTTCTAAACTAGTTGATTTGCGGGCAAACTGCTTTGACTTTAAGCCAATATTTTCGCAGGTCTGAATACAAACAGGGTAGTTTTCGTGAAACCGGGGTGTACGTGCACATTGTAAAATATTAAACCGAAGTTTAATAACAAACATCAAACTGCTGTTTACTATGTCGCTTATAATTTATAATGTAAATTGAGAAGTTTTGAAAATAGCAAACATTTAATTGGTAAATATTGCCGCCGTATACGCCACAGAATCGGCTGCCGGAAGCGACTTCTTCACTCTATTTAATTTGGCAAAAAGGGTGATTTTGTCACGATGTTGAATTAGTAAAATCATTGAATTATTTAATTAAACTAGTCATATTTTTCTTTTGCATTTTCCTAAATAAAAATTATTGAATTTAAATAGCTAAACGCAAAAGACTTGTGTTTTTGCAAACAAGCTTAAATGTTTTTCTAATGTTCCGTTCCCCAGTTGCAATTCTATTGATATTTCTAATCTTCAATGCTGAAAACAATCTACAGGTAACACAATATATTTAGTGCTTAATTTGGATTTAAAATAAATGCACATTAACAAATCGTAACATAATCTATCCGTTTAATAAAATGTTTAAAGTTTATTAAAAGAAAACATATTTATTATAATTATAATTATTTATTCAGATTTGTTGTTGATATTTCCAGAATCAAAATAATGAGCAGTAAAGGGCTTTGATGAATGAGTACACTCGGCACTTGCAGAAAAGGCACAGTTTTACATCAAGTTTTTTATTAGAGTGAGTCAAAAACTGACATTTTTCCGAAAATTCGTTTTTCGACACCCTCGACGTCGCCTCGTGTGTCAAACGCCGTCGTCGTTCGAAAAACAACACTTTTTCGTATCTTGTATCGAAAACGACTATTTTCGTATTCGTTTATTTCTATTACAACAAAAAAATATTCTTTCCAACAACCATTACAAGCAAATATATTTAATATTTGAATGGTTAATGTATGTGGAAATGCCGCACGAAAATAATTCTTGTCGGATAGAAAACTTTGGAAAAGTTGAGACTTTTCCAAAGGACGTATTTTAAAAAACATGCTTTTAATAGACACTAATAAAAAGCCATTCGTCAACGTTTTCCATAACCCCATGTCAACATTTACGCAAGATGTACCGCTAACTATCTCATTTTTCAATAGTCAAAATATTTATAAACTTCAAAAACTTACAGTTGTTTATATTATTACAAATATTATTTTTACGTTGATGGAAACAACATTTCAGTGTGGACCTGCTTAATATGATTTACTGCAAAACTTTTCAACTTCAGTTAATGTTAATGGTTAAACTTAACTATGATTAGCCGGTAAGCGTCGAGAAGGCTCGCATATAAATTGGATTTTCAAGCTGAAGTATATTGTAATTGAGGTATCTATAGTCGGCTATTCTTGGTTTGTGGGTTGGAAAGTTATGTTCTTTTGTTCAGATACTTTTTTATAGATTTGGTCTTTAAAATATAAATTAAATTAAGGCCGTCTATTAGTAAAATTTGATTTTAGTAATATACTCAAAATTGATGAAAACGCTTAAATAAATTACAAAACCCGATAACATTAGATTTTAATTAGATAAACTACATAAAACTACAATTAAAAATGATTTATACCTACTATGTAATAACAGAATTTTTTTTCAATTTGGGGATTGGAGAAAATCCGAATACAATTAATTCGTCTTCTTGCCAATGCCAATGCAAAAAATTTGACGACTTTTCCAAAAAGACACCAACCTTACTTTCATTACAGTTAACAATTACAATTATTACAATGTGGACCACACATCCCCACACTAGTGCCGTCTGCTTTAATAATTTATGGGAAACTTCTTGAAAATCCTCGACATTTTTTGAAAGTCCTTCCATATGCCGTAGTCTAGTCCCGCAAATGTCTTCTTTTTATTTGAAGTGAGTTTAATGGTTTACACTTCTAACATTATGTAAAAGATAGTTTTGCCTTTTTTACGATGTTAATAACGATCTTCCACATGTCTATTTGTATGAATTATTCTTTTACAGTATATTATTTCAGCCAGATGTTTCTTGTATTTAAACATTTTAAAATGTTTAGAAATGTATTTATATTTTTTCATTCCTATATACTGTACAAATTTTGACACGATTATTATTAGAAAATAGCAAATAGTGCCAACAACACTGAGCCATACAAGTCAGAATAATGCCGTTAGGCTGATTTTAAAGCGTGTTTCTGAGCTTTTAGGACAAGATAGTAGTTTTAAAATATGGCCATTTATTATCAATTTTATAAAGCCTGACTACTACCATACATTGTGTAGCCCAAAGCGTGAAAACCGAGCAGTAGAACACGGCATACCATTTATTTATTGCGGCACCAAGTATCCGAAACAAAGCGTTATTCTGACTGATTATCAGGAATTTGAAACTTGGGTGGTGTTCCTTCGCCGGTCTTACGAATTCAGCGAAACTGGATTCCGTGCACTTTCCTGCAGGATTTGTGAAAAGTGCATTTGCATGAGTAGGCCCGAGAACGGTAAATGGCAAATTTACGGAAATGAGTAATGTTACTGCATTTCAACATGCATGGTATTAAGCTGGTGCCTACGAGTGAATGATCCTGCTCCATAATGTAGGCAGTTGCACTATTGTGTTTTACAGTTCAATGATCGACTATCAGATAGATGTAATCATTATTTATAGGTTTGCATCACAAAACATGATTCGAGCCTTTAATTCATACACACACAGGACGTTTTCAGTCACTGGCTTTATGACAAAAGAGGAAATCAGCGAGACTTTAAAATGTCAATGGGTTTAGAACTGATGTAATCGCACTATTAAGCATATGATGAACACCCTCGAAGAAGAATGGTAATGTTTCCGGGTGCCGTGTCGCTTTGGTCATTTTTCATCAAGTTTATATGCTTTTTATTATTCTATAATTTTTACCACAAATGCTACTTTGTAAAATTAGAACACGTAAAAATGGGAAACTCAAGAAAACAATGAAGAAATCAAAGGAGTAGAAACAAGTTATAAGGCAAAAAAGGAGCAGATACACACTGTTTGCATCTCAAAAATGTCTACAGTGACAAAAATAACATAATATGGATTCATTAATTGCCTTCGGTCCCAAGATATCAAAGTGACTGAAGATTAAAATACCAAAACATTTCATATTATGAATATTGGGGCCAATTAAAATGACATTTTTTCTGCTTATGTACGTAACTTACAACCACAACAAAATGTTGAAAGATAAAAACGTTGTATGTACTATTGCTGTATTTCCTAAATATATGTATAGGAAATATTATTCTACTGTAGATCTAAAATAGACGCGTCTGTTGTGGAGCCTAAAAAAATTGTAATTGAACCACACCTACCTAAGAAATAAGCATTTACTTTAGTCTCAATACTGAATGTTTTCCGCCGTTGCAATTTTCAACATATCGCTTATTTTGCTTTTGCTAAAATGAAATATTTAGGGTGTGTAAACGTGCAATGTTTTCGCAACAATATTGCTGCATTTACACACCCCTAAAGATGGTTTAAATTACTCCGAGTCATTAAGTTAAGAAAGCAACTTTGTTTACTATCTGTTCCTTAATCGATACAGAAGACATGTTGCTTTTCCGGCACAGATAACTGAATTAAAAATACAGAAACGTGGTTTTAAGAAGACGAGTAAGTTCGTCGTAGTGAATTTGATGAAAGTTGGTCAATTTGGTTTAAAGAAAAATGATTAACATTATTACCAAGTAAACAAACTAACATCAAAAGCATAATCAGTGCATTGGTTTTATTTCAACAGTTTTAGCGTGTATAAACATAGCAAATTTAGTTTTTGAGATTCGAAATTGAAGCATGATTGACTTTTCTCATGTTTGGTGCTATTCATAAAGTATCAAGGCAAACCCAGCAATTTAAAAATATATAACAGAGAATACCAATAAGCGCATATAAAAATTTTAATGAAGCAGACAATTACTGAGCTTTTTCACAGAAATAGTAATATTCATTTGTTTTATGCGTATACATAT